CCATGGATACGGCAGCAGGAGGATAGAACTAGCACACACCGCAGGGATACAAGAATAGACTAAAGGCAAACCACATAAACAGAGCAAGGACGTACCAGGGACATCGAAGAAGTGAACGGTGACGTAAATGGTCCAGTAGGTGCGCATGGCGCCGGCGACGACGACGATGACGCCGAAGCCGAAGAGGACCATGAGGCCGATGCGCTGATAGACGGGAAGGCGGAGCTTCCAGAGGGTCGGCATCGGGAGGACCGTGACAATGAGGTCCGTGACGACCGTGGTGATGGCCTGCGCGGCGAGAGGGGGCCACTCGCCGATGCAGCTGTCAGCCGACGAGGGCGAGAGGTGCCAGTAGTGGGCCACGGGGCTAAGGTGGGCGGCATGTCAGGGGGGGGATTGAACTGTTGCGTGTCGGGAGTGGGGTCGAGACTCACATGCATTGTGTCCAGAGGACGATGATGAAGATCCAAATCAACGCAAAGACGACGTAAATGGTCGCCCATGTGAGTTTCCGGAATGCCGAGCCGAGAGGTGCAATACGCAGGTAACTGGCCAACATGGACAATTTGGTGAGGCCAGAAGCGAAGAGGAAGATGGTCTGGGCAGCAATGGAGATCTTCAGCATCTTGTTAGCACACAGCCGACAGCCAAACCAAAAACACCGTGATGCGGCTTACCTGGCGGCCTTGCTGCATCTGTTGTGGCGTCAAGTCCCATACGTGCAGATTCCATCCGTAGAACTGGGTCGCCAAGATGACGCAGACGGTGACTCCGGAAGCGAATACCTGATGAAAAGATCAGCCAAATTCATCTCACGACTAACATGTGACAATGACAAGAGCCAGGGGGGGAACGTACCGCGCCACCGACCATCAGCCAGTCATCCCACCAACTCTTTCGGATGATGCATAACCTGACATAGAGTCGAAGAGCCAGGCAGACCAGAGCGATGGGTAGGATTGTGAGCTCGACTATCATCAAAGCCGGACCTCTGTTGATGGGGTCTACAAAGTTGGGCTCGGGCCAAGAGGCGAGGACCTCAGGCGGTGGGAACCTCGCCATTGTAGGCAGGAGGCTGGTCGTCTTCTTCTTCTTCCTCTTCGTGTGACCTTGGCCTCTCCTTCGGTGAGGTGATCGTTTTCGGATGGCCCGGACGGCGACCGGTCTGCTTCAACACCTCAGGTCGGTCTGGGCGTGCGATTGTCGTCTTCGGGGGTCGGACCTCGCTGAGTAGTGGGTGCCTCGGACAATGGATCAGGAAGGCCTGTGACCCAAAATCGCGGGGGAGAAAGTGGTAAGAGAAGTGACGAGGCGGGGTGGAAGAGGGTCTTATTCAAAGAGCAGACGTACAACTCCATTATGCCGTCTGGGTCCTGCTCGCATGATTGACGGTGGTGGTAGGAACTACTGCGGTTTCCACGCCCAGTGGCGTCGCAGACCGGCGAGGTCCAGGCTGCGAGCCTCGGTGGTTTGGACGGATCTGTATTGTGACCCGGCCGCTGGCGGCACAAAATGCGGTCCCTATTACCTGAGCATTGCCTAGGTGGAGCGACCGCGTCTCTGGGCTAGAGCGCACCATCCGTACGCTAGGAAGGGCCTTTCCGTATTGCGCTTCGCGGAATGGAGACATGTGTCTCGTGGCGGCGGACTAGGGGCCGTACCTGGGGACGGCTCCCACCCCCGAAGAACTTCTTTGTCATTGTTGGGCCTTTGGCATCAGGAGAGGTGTGTCTCGTGAGGCAAAAGGCCAAGAGCGCAAAGGTTAATAATGAGCGTCGGTCGCGCGGTCGTGCCTCATCACCGAAGGGCGCTGGAGGCGACAACCTTCAGGCCAAGGATCGCTAGTTAACGCTATGGTTCATTGCGAATTCTCGATATTCCCGAGACGCGAAGGACTAGCGACGGAACATGTGGAGAAAGACCACGCGGTGTCTGAGTTGCACGTCGAACTCAGCGAGGGTGGATTCTTTTTTCTTCTTCTGCGTGCGAGCATCAACACGAACTCGTCAGAAGATGGGAGGGATTCGGACACGCATCCGCCAGTCCTTGCCACCGACCGAGAAGACTCATGGTCCCAGCCTGTCACCCAGGGTGTCGTGTCACCCAGGGCGAGATGATTGACGGGTTGGTTGGGCGGGAAGGCGGGTAGAAAGACGCCAAGCTGCAAGCGACTAGACCAATGCAGGTCCTCGGAGAGCTGAGCCACGTGTGGTGGGCCATGATGCATCCGGGTGAAAATTCTTGCTTCATGTCGTTCGTACTGGGCAGCAGCCAGTTTGTCAGTTGTCAGCACGGCAGTTCGGATCGGCGAAGTCAGGACGAGCGGCTCGGAACGGAGCGGAAGATGAACAGAAGTCAAGAAAATTAATAAGAGGAGATGTTGAATTCTTTTCTGACGGAATCTAACATCATCAGCATGGATCTTGATGCGTCGTAGATCTGTGTGGGGTCTCTCGACGCAAAGCCATGCCACATTGCCCAATGCCGCACTGATAGGAGGGCAATGTGTGGGTGCCTTCTTCGGGCATGTTCTTAATCTGTCCAGCGCAGTTCCTTCATGAGGCCCTTGTACGATTGGCAATGTCTGGGGGCCCTGCCTGCCTATTAATTTTGTCGTTCACTGCTGGATGCAACTCTTGCTCGCTCCAGCTCGCTCGAGCATATGTCGACCAAAGCCAGCCGGGCTTCGAAGCAGCCTCGGTAGCAGCACAGCACTGGTATCGATCTGTCTGTGAGCCAGCGGGTGGCGCTTCGTCGTGGGCGAGTCATCGTCATCCTCGGTCGCTTGTCCTTTGCCGTCCGTCATCATTGCTCCATCGCCCGGAACACAGTCACATTTTTCACGACACAGTCTCGGGCGGACGCACCGCAGCCCAGCGCTGTCCTGGCCCTACGGTCATCCGAATGCCCTTGCATGTCGGCAATGATGCGAGCTGCAGCATTGCAAGACATCTCGTGCGGCGAAGCTGCGGGAAAAGCCGCATGGCTGTGCTCCACAGCCATGTACTTTGTCGGCGTCGCAGCAGCCTTGAACTCACCAAAGGCTCTAGAAACGTAGTCATGATGTGTGCTAGCGTTGGCCAGAACCGACAGAGGATCGAGGGGCGGCTGGTCGTGTGTCATGCCGTGGGGTGGTGAAGACGACGAGTTTGTCTCGGTTCTTGCCGGCGAGGGAGCAAAGGGGATGGTGGCCATGTATTGATTCGGATTGTACCACGGGATGCCATCCTCGCAGTACCGCAGGTGTGTGTCGATCTCGTGGTTCGTGACGCCCCGTTGGGCGAGCAGGGCTCGTAGCCTCGAGTTTTCGATGGCCACATCGCGGGCTGCACGCTGCATTTCCAGAGAGGCTTCAATGCCTCGCTGCTCGTACTCTTGCACTTTTCGCTGCAGGTCTTCGACGAGCTCCTTTCGTTGGGCACGCGAGCGGCGCTGGTTTTCACGGATGCGGCTGGCGTTGGGTGAGTTTGCTGTTTGGGACTGTGCAGACTCTTGGGTCAGAATTTGAGCGGACAGGGATCTCAAGCAATGGGATGGATGGCATGGAAAGAGTTGTGAAAAACTTACTCGACCGCGCTTTGCCTTTTTTGCCGGTGGCTGGACGCCTTCTGTCTCTGTAGTCGACATTGCGAGCAGAAAGTGAGGGGTATCGTGGGTTTTCGGCTGGTATGGTAGGGTTTCGCTTCACCGCACGGGTGGTATGTCACTGGGAAAATCGGCTGGTGTTTGTTGGTCCTGGTTCTTCGTTGTTGATGGGGGGATCTCGACAGGCAACAGGAGCTTGGCGGTCAGTGCAATGCCGGACTGGGACCTGGGCCGTGGAGCCTTTCCACCGGGGTGGGAATGGTCAGCTGAAAATTGCACTATCGGGGCTCTGCCGCTTTTTCCAGGGTCCACTTGCTTTTAGTCCATAATCTCTGACATGCACATATTGCAGATTTCGGAGCCTGCTTCCTCTTGAAGGTGCCTTGTTCGTTCTACTGCCAGCCTTCAATCCTCATGGCAACTTCCATCAACAATGCATGTAATCACACGAGCTCTTGCCGTTGTAGGCTGCGGCTTGATGCCTGATGCCGATGTTCCCACTCTCGGAGCGAAGTCTGATGGACATTTTCCTCTTTCATCATGGCTGAAAAAAAACTGGC